ACATCGACATCACATCGACATGACAATACTACATCAACTAAAACAACCAAGCACATCACATCGACTAGTGACCAGGAAAAAAAGGCATTCGTTAAAGGCAGGCAATGACACCGATCAACGATTCGGACTAGGTTTTATCGTCTGGAGTCGACGTTCAGTAGATCAGGTCGTAATGCAACTTTTTGTGAATCGCGTGAATGGCTTGAGTCTTGTACACCATGGTGTTGGGGCCGATGCAGTCGAAGCAGTGGTTCAAGACGTGGTCGTAGGCATGGCATCCTGAGACACTCGAGTTGTCGCGCACGTAAAGTCTCGCGATTTCACCTGAAGTCTTGATCTTGTTGCACCTGTCGCAATCCATGGGAAACTTTTTGCCTTCTTCGTCAAGCCAACTCCCTTCCATGTGATGGGTGAACCGAATTGTGAAATACTCGACAGAAATCGCCTTGCCAAATAAATGTAGGTAGTTTCGATACAACTCAAGATTTTGTGCCACTGGAGCATGGGTTTTAGGAGATTGCTTTAAAATACGGTTTAGCTCGTCCATATTACAATCTCCGGATTTGATTAATCAGCGTTTTGTAACAAAGTCTCAATATTACTTTCAARTCAGAGCGAAGAGTGACTAACAGCCCAGATTCATGCAATAAATAAACGCTTAGACGAAACAATAGAGAACAAAAGGACYATTGTTCGGGGATTAAGTGTACAAAAGACCTCAATTCGAATAAATTACCAATGCGGGGYACCTCATTAGTATTCTACCAACGTCTCATTAGTATTCTACCATTTTTTCCATTGTCATTTCCAATGAAAAGGGGTCCCAACTCTCCCGCTAATACTACTACCGGAAGCTCAAACGTATTGATGTACGAATATCGTTAGTAAATATTATATGCTGCTTGCGCTTTTATATGACAAAAAAACTATTCGTTTACAAATGTTGTATCTGTGATCTCATCGGAATGCATCAGTCTAGGAATCATAAGTACGCGCATGTGCAGATCGCTTGGTGCTTCGAGTAGTATGCTTACGAAACTAAATCAATGGCCTTTCTAGCGTTAGGCAGTCCTGTGTGGGCAAAGATTTCAAATTATAACAAGAAGAAACATTTTTTATCAATAACAAAAAGGCGAGTTTATGATTTTATGGTATCTTTACTTTTGGGCCTGAGAGGTCAACGTTCACTAGCTTAGCATCACATAATCTACATACCACCGTTTGATTTTATCAGTGAAAGCAAGGACTCCTTTACAACGTTCATTGCTGGTATTAATTACATGATCTTTTAGATCAAGTTTATTTTAGTCTCAAGAGAGTTTGGATATTTTGAACTAGACGCTCTTATTAGACCATGAGTTCGGCTATTTTGGAGAAAAATTAAGAAATATATATTTTAATCTAATTTTTATCTTTTATGTAATATCCTGCTGTCTTTCTCAAGTTTCATTTACATTCATAATATCATATGATTAGTAAGAGATAAATACCGAGAACGGAGGCAATAAGCCATATAAAGCACGAKGGGCCGTAGGCCCCGAGRSMTTTATAGGCTTATTGCCGACGTTCGAGGTATTTATCTGACTTATTTCATACTTGAAGAAGTTTTCCAAGCACTGCATTAATATTTTCATTTTAAAATAGGAAAAGAAGCCGTTTTCATATGAATTAAAAACCAAAACCTCGATTAGAAAGGTTACGAAATTTACTGTATTGACAATTCCCAACGGTAATAATTTGCATAACCATTTTTCTCGTTAGTCCCATGAGACCAATGCTAACAATATACCTTTTGTAACAAGTAACTGGACAATGTTAAATAACTGTTTTATTCCACAACTGACATCGATTAGTCAGTTAGCATAGCGTGTTAAGTATAGGATTTTCAAATCTAAGGTTGTGGGTTCGAATCTACTTGGTGTCATTTGAATTTTTCTTTCTTTCTTTCAAGTTTCAGACGGAAAATTTCTAAGTTGAACGTAGTAGTTAATTAGGTATTCAAGGGCAATAAGTACATTACTATTCAAGGGCAATATCTAGATATTGCCCTGAAACTTCGATATAAAGCACTTGAATACACAATGAGCTGTGGAATAAGCTAGATACAACACTATGAATAACAAAGAAAACTGAATCAAGTATGAAATAAGACAAAATATAACATCATAATCTTTTCACTCGTGTCTATCAATTTTCAAAAATAGCTAGTCCGACTTCACGCCCCAGGGGCGTTAGGTTTTGAAATAAAAAAACTGTTTCTACAATAAAATTATCAATTTCAAGATGTGACCTAATTCGTGCAGCGATAAGTACAGAATTTCAGACAAGATTAGAAAACTGATACTTCAGACTTGGATTGCTAATCATATTCAATGAAGTCTTAATACTGACCAGTGTGGCATCTTCTGCCACTGAACCCAAATAATTGAATGCTGTAAACTTTGCAGGCAAGTCATCTTGATCAGCAATATTAACAACTAAAATAGTCCAGTTACTAAGACCTGGTTGATCCTGAAACAAAGTCGAGAAAATGTTTAGAAAAAAAAATCGGCATTTTGAATTTTAATTGAGGTGACATGACCATTAAACCAGACAAAACATTCATTCCAAATATGAACGACAAAAGATTAACCCTGAGTTTCCGTAAAAAGATAGTACGCTTTACAAGTAGTACATAACTGAAATTAATCAGAAATATACCATAAAACGTAGTAAAACTTGACTCGCCAGCTTTGTTTCTTACCCGTACGGTTATGTTGAGTGTGTATTCTATTTGTTGTTCATAATCCAGCTTCGATGAGATGCTTACTTTACCAGTGCCATCAATTGCG